ACTGAAAATGTTTCAGCAAACTTTAAAAGTCTGCCACCGTTATAGGTTCGTTATTCAAGCGTCTTTTACTTATAAATATGCATATACCTATATTATATATATTTTTTACGTTTCCCATTTAAGTTTCACTCATTCACTGCTTCATTCATTTTTGCATTCATTAATTTCGTTAACGCGATTCAGCAAGGCGTAGCAAATAAATGTAAATAGGTAAACTAGAAAGTTACACACGAAATACTTAAATACCCGCAAAACATACCAATTAGCACACCAATACGCCGGCACCGCCCCACATCCCAAACACCGACAGTAACAGTACAAACTGCGCCATTTAAAAGGCACACAAACACCGACACATATATAATATATTGAGTGTGTGTGTGTTTGCAGTCATATACTTATGTAAATACCTGTGTGTGTTGCGTGTGTATTCTTGGTGCCATTCATTAACGGCTGTTTGCCTGCAACACGGCGAATATGCCCGACTACACCAACAAAAGTTTATTTACCGTTGAGCATTTGCATCGTAATGTGAAGTCCTAAATCCAAATATTAAACAAGTGTTGCGACATATGTATGCACGTATGTGTGTTAGCTATGTATTTGTGCTTGCTGTTGCATGTGTGTTCATTGGTAATAAAACAGACTTGCACGCTCATTTGGGGGTACATATAAATAAATGAGCTGCTAATGTGGCAAACAGGAAGCGACGTCACAGACACACGTTCTATCATACACACACAAACACACTCATACACATATATATATACCAATATTGTATATGTTTGGAGGTGATGTGATTGCAAACATTCCCCGAGCTCTGCCTAGCGAAGTTTCAAATTATACTCAAGTGAAATGGTTTCAAAAACTATTCTGCACATTTCAGCATTTAATGTTGTTGTTGCTATGAAGATTAAATATTTCACCTGTTTAAGCATTAATAGGTGGTGTGGTTAGTTGTATGCCTTCTGATTCCTCATTGGACAGAATGTAAATTTTTTAAAAGCACTATCACGATTTAATGTGGATTTGCTTCAGTATTTGAAGGATATATGGTATAAGGTGTAGTAAAAAAAAAAAAAAACAAAACACACCGATTAAGATGAAATATGCACCAATTTGATTGAAAACTTTTTGCCATTGCCATATTGAAGTTAATTTTATAATGAAACTGTCCTAGAAATCCTCCACCCTAATCACAAAAAACTGGGAGAGTCGATTTTCACAAGCTGACTTTGAGGCGAAGTTTTCATCAGCTAAATCTTTCGGCATAGGCAGAAACAGCTAGTAACCACTTACGCTTCAGGTAAGTCACTATCGATGTGGCCTGGTGTGATCTTAATGTAACCTAGTTTCTCTTCTATTGACCAAAGCTGTCCACTTCTAGTCAATTGCTTCTTTTAAACTGAGCAATTGTTAACAGTGGAGGTTCGAATTAAAAGTTTGGAAGTTGTAGCAGATAGTCCCCTGATTGTCTAAATACACAGCAACAAATTTTTCACCGTCAATCTAGGTGTGATCACGACCGTTTTCGCTTGACGTTGTCATAACTCACCCATTAGTTTATATTAGAACTCGGTCGATTTTGTTGCGATTCAACAGCGATATGCTGATGGAAGTTGAGTTCATGAAGTTTTATTGGGTTGACTCGGGTTAAATGGTTTTAAACGGGCTTTTGGGAAAATTTAGCGATCGAAACAGTCTTTACATGAGCGTGGTGCATCTTTGACATAAAATTATCGGAACGGAATCGATGAACCCAAAAGTACGCATGATTGGTTGTTACAGTATGAGACCATAAACACTGTTCTCATGAAGAACACCTCTACAATGAGGCAGATTTTCTCTTTACTGATACTAAGTCAAGCAATCTCCAAACTGCCTGGAAGGTTCATGAATACGAAATATTATTTTTCTGATGATTTTCTAAATAATGGATTTCTTTTTACTATACCTTTTATCTGACAGATTATCGTCTTATAATTAATGTTATGTTTACACTCTACCGAGATACAAATGTACGGTATGCCACATGTGTTTTCTCAACAAAATTCCCAGCTCTTAAAAGTTTAAACTACATGTTTGAATTGTAAATAGGACTAGAACTATTCAACCCCCCATATATTAAATATGTGGACCCCAGTTCTTACAGCCAACATTTGATCGAAAATATCGGTCAATCTATGAGATATGTTATAGGAATTTGAAGGGAATCCTTTTCAGATAATAATGTGCTTGTGTGTTAAAAATGGGTTGTATCGGGTCAATTATTCCTTCAGGCCCATATACCTAATGGAATGGTTTTAGAACTACTGGCTGACTTTATATCTCAAGCTTCAACAAATAAGTAAGATACCTTAGCAAAATTTACTGAAAGTATAATATTGGATGAACTATAGTTTGATACCGAAAATATGTGAAATTGGTTCACAAATTAGCCAAACTATCATATTCTACATATATTGATTTTCTTTGTTCTAACAAACGGTGTGCACCTGAACGTAGTTCCCTGGCTTTGATCTTGGCAAGTTGTAAGAGTATTCCTTACTTGTCAAGCATTTTTTCATACCATAAATACATTCGTATGATTACTAATAATATAATCCTTTCAATCAGTACGAAATATATTTTTTTAATCAATATAATCTCTGTTAACTTCAATAGACGTATTCCAATTCATTCAAGGAATTGTTTTAGGGGTCTGAAGAGATAGTAGTCGCTGGGAGCCAAATCTGGTGAATACCGTGCATGCTCAAGCAATTCGAACTGTAATTCGTTGTATTTTGTCATTGTTAAAACACCTTTGTGATGTGATGAAAAACAGATGCATTGTCGTGATGAAAAACAATTTTTTTTTTGCAAACCAAGTCTTTTCTCACGAATTTTTTCATCCAGCTGATCCAAAAGGCTGCAATAATATTTAGAGTTGATTTTTTATCTTTCTGCAGATAACCAATCAACAAAATTTCTTTTGCATCCGAAAAAACTGATGCCATAAACTTCTTTGCTGATCGTTGTGACTTCGCCTGCTTTGGATCTGAACAACCAGCTTCAGTCCACTGTTAACGCTCTTGTTTAAATTTAGGACCATGCTGGTAGATTCAAGTCCCAACCATAGTTATAAAATGACTCAAGAAATCGGTTTTATTCTGCTTAAAACGTTCCAAATTATGCTGAGAAATTTGTATTTCTTTGACGCTTAGTCAAACTTGGGTCTTCATTAACAATATTATGAACTTGCTCAATGATTTCTGGTGTGGTTGTGGTTTTTGGTCGCCCTGCGCGTTGATCGTCTTTAATCCTAATATGACCTCATTTAAATTCACCAGCCCAGTGGGAACTCCTTATACACTTCTTTAAATTGTTCATAAATTTCCTTTGCTATTAAGCCTTTCAAAACCAACCTGTATGTTTAGTTTGATGCCGATAGTATAATTTTAAACTATTTTCCTAATTTAACCGATTAAAAAATAAACATGTGGCAACCTTTTTCAAAATAATTATGTAACATATTAAAATATCACATTCCTATCACACACTGTGAAAATGGGCGAAATCATAATCATCGACATAAGACTATGCTAAAGCTAAAAGCATGAACTATCCATTATCTCATTTGAATAGCAACTTTACTCAAACGCTTCCCTAAAGAAAGTGAAAATGCCACGTGTTACTAAGGATGGCTTAAAATACTAAAAACTATGCTTTTAAAGCACATTAAACTTAAAAGTAAAAATAATGACTTAGGTAAACTCACAGTAATGTTGACCGAAAAATACTTGTATTATTATGAGAAAAACGTGGGATGGTTTGTGCCATTTTTATATATCAAGCGATTCTAAAATCGTCCCATTTTCCCAAGTTAATTATTTTCTTGCTGATGCCCTCTGAAATTTTAGTGTTTGCCTAAAAAAATTATCCAATGTATTCAAAGCAAATAAACCTACAACTTTTAATGCACTACAAGAAAGATCTGATTGTTTTTTTTTCATAAAAAGATTCGTTTAAAAGTTATACGAGTTAAATATCAAAGTAAAGTATATTGATCAAAACAAAATATTTAATACATAAAATGTGTAAAGTTTTGGAGCGTCATCTGATAACAAATTTAATAATGACCATTTATTTTAACTAAAATTATTTCAATTATATAGTTCATTATTCATTTATATTATATAAGAATAGAAGAAATTGTTATAATATCTGGATTGATCGGTTCAACTTAAATGAAGATTTAAGATCTTGCTCTTAAATTATAAAAAAAAAAACACACGCAACTCTTTCTCCATATAAAGATCAGAGGTTATTAATCATTTTAACACTGACACTCTTAGATAGTCACATCTTCACATTTAAAAATCAAACTGTGCCAAGTTTTTTAATTTTTTTCCAATTTTAGGCAGAAAGGCTTCGAGATACATTGAAATCTGTATGAAATATAAATTGCATCTCTAAATATAAATAACATAAAAATATTCTTCTTTCATTCACATGTGCTGGTCGATGACTTCACATATGTCGTTCTCCTTTCTCACATCACTAACTGTTTGACGTTGTTGACTCATTTTGGCTCCAAGTTAATTAGTCGCCTGCAATGTGGTGTGAATCACGGTCGTAAAAATGAATTAAGTTACCAAACTTTGCTACATTTTTTGTGGCATAGGTGTGTGTATTTATTACTTCTCATTCGTAAGAGAAGACATTTCCAAGTTTGCCACTTAAGAATCTCATGCTCGTCATTAGCTTGTCTGAATACTTTCTGCGACACTTGTCACATACTTTCGCACTTTCACGTTTACTTTTGATCTTTTTTTCTTTGACTTTGTGGGGCAAAAGTAATTTCCTTAAATTACTTGTTACACTCCTACATACATACAAACATATGTACTTTGACAAGTCAGAGCTGCGAGAGAGACTAAAATAAATTAGCCTGAAATAATTCGAGTGGCGCATATTCAAACGTTATGCAATTTTAAGCTGAAAGTTGATGTGTACGTATGTTTCTATATAAATGTAAAGGGTTGTTCTTGTAATAATTTCTTTTAAAAATTAAAATGTTTTGTATTCCAAAGTTAATAATCCAAACTATTTGTTTCAAAGCCCTCGTTCATACCAGTACTCAAAAGGCGGCAAATCTCAGCTTTTAGCAGAACAGTAGTGGAATCTGTTGTAAAAGAAATATTATATAATAAAGATTGAATTATGGGACATAATAAGTTATTCTGTTGAACCCAAAGTTCTCTTAAGTTCATATGAATACTTCTGTCTACAGAAGGTCTACTATTTTCCCCTGTAACACCTTCCGATAAGGGGTTATATCCAGTAGTGAATTTCAAAAAATCGACTTTTTTTACACATATTATATATGGAATGTGCACATATTTAAAAATATTCGCCGAAAATTTGATCCGATACGAATTTTTGACTTACTGTAAAGCCAATGCCAAAACTTTAAATGGGTTTTCTTAAAACGCCATTTTTAGAGTTGGTGTACGACTTGTAATTCTCACACAACATACCCAAATATATTTGTTATGTAATGATCGAAGGAATAAGATTTTTGATAACAATTTCAATTTTTAGCCACACTGAAGTGTAAATTTTTTCAGTAATAATAATAAAAATTTTTGGTTTTTGGACTTGAGATAATTTAAGCAGAAATATCATTCTCGTTACCTTTTTTTGGAGGTCCTGCAGGAGGATCAGCTACGGGATCAAGTAAATCCACAATTTTTTAGAATTTTTTTCTCGAGCAAAAAACAAAATTTTTTTAATTAAATATTTTATTCAAACTTTTTTTAGTCCAAAGATATATATTTTACAAAGATTTTGTGAAGTTTTGAAAAGAAAATATTTAAAACTTCAACAACTTGACAGAAGCATTTTTACATGATCATATGAAGTAAAAAGAAAAAAATTTGTTAATTAAGACCATAAACTGGGTATTGGACGAAAGGAAAACAAAAAAGGTGAAATTTTTATTTTGGTAGACGTTTTTACAAAAAAGTTTTGTATAAAAATTTATCGATGCGTTTGTTGAATAGTAGTAAAAAACTGTCTTTTAAGACCTTATAAATTATATCTCGAAGATCTGTGTAAAAATTCATTAATTTCATTTTGTTAAGTACAAGTAGTTCGCGAGAAATCTTGACAACCGACTTTGTTTTGCGTTTTTTCGTTTAAAGTTTTGAGTGACTATGACATATAGCTAACCTCAAGCGCGCAATTTTTCAAAGCTGTACTTCCAAAATTAAAACTGGGATCATTTTGAGCATTTAGGACAATATTTTAGAGATGTTTTAGAATTAAAATAAATAAGACAAAAAATCGCCGTAAAACCCATGTAACCCCTTAAATGCTGTAAATGCAGATTCCTTTTGTTGAATTATTATTTAAAAAGCCTTTTCCAAAATAAAAGAACAAAAAACATGGTTTTACTGAATTACAAGTGCATATGACACTTAATACAAACCGGTTTTTCAGTAGCATTACAAAGGTCTCGCATCAATTGCTATCGGTTTTGCATGAGATACCGGGGTTCAAAATGTGACAGTTTTTCCTCTTGTCTTCTTTTTATTAATGGTCGTGTGATCGAATATGCCATTACCCTGTTTTGTTTTTAGTTTTTCAGAGTTGTTTGGAGCAGTATTTCTCAGCGATATTTTAGCACATGGCTACTACTTGGTTTAGCGCTCACTTTCTTTCCAAAATATCAGTGAGAACGAACCCTCACTATCAAAAATCACAAATTAAAACATACCACATGGACTACCCCTTATATGCAGTTCGTTGACATTTATAAAGGTAACAAGTCTGCTAAGAAACGATGTAAAAAAAATTGTGACACAAAATGTAACTGATATGAGTGTCTGGTCGAAAATCGCAATCACGACTTAAATTTCCAGCAGCAACAAAAAAAAGGGGGTTTTTTTCTTAGGAAATTAAGTATACGCCCAGTTGGCATTTCGTACGAAAACGTACGATGGACGTGCATCACATGAAATGCCGGGCGCTTAGATTTGGAAACAAAAATCGTGACGCCTTGAAAGCAGAAATACACACTTTTATACGTGTATGCGTGCATACGTATTGTATATGTGTATTTGTCCATAGTTGTATGTATGTATATGCGTTTTAAACATGGATTTGTGTGGTTTTTGTAAAAGTGGAAAATTCCAGCTGGACATTGCTGTTCAAATACCATTTACCTTATGCTTACACTACACGATTTTAGCACCTTACTGTGCTCTCAACACACACACACACTACAACACAAATATAAATTACTACAGTACACAAAATGCAAACAAAACGAATTTTATTTCCAATTTATCCAACGCATTCAGACGCCAACACAGCAAAGTCTATAAGTATTTTCAATTTTATGCACAAAAAAAGGCATCTAACTGTTAGGCAGTGGCATCTGTGTGTGTCTGCGCGTGTGCATGTGCTTGTAGCGAGTAACTCGTTTTCTATTTAAACAGCAAACAGTTCTCTCATTTGCCGCTTTGCTCTACAGCTCCGCCACTTGATGTACAAGTGAATGAATTACAAATGTCACATGCAGCCAAAGCTTTCCGGTTGCCTTCTACATTTACGGTTATATTTCCTTTGCACCCGTACTACCACTGTAATTTCCCAACCACGCTCAATGCGCACTCGTTTGTGTGATTTGCTGCACAGGTGAAAGCTTTTATTTGGTATTTTTCTCATGCCGCAGCAAAGGATATTTGCACCAGCAGCAGCGGCGGCAGCAGCACGTGCTCATATATTTGCCATTAAGCATGCGCCTACACACACATACATATGCTAGTGCGCTGCTGCATGTGCATAGCGCGTAAGTGTGTGTGTGATTTAAATGAGTAAGTACTCGTACACACATTTCTTTATGTTTGCGTTAAATTTCTTATGACATTTAATTTGCCAAGCTCAAGACCGTAGCGGCACCAGCATCTGTTACTGTTGCACTGGCAGCAGCAGCAGCAGCAACGAAATGAGAAAAAGAGGGAAGTAATTAGAACACAAATTGCACATAATATCTGCATGTGGCATAGCCATTCACTACAAATAGTTGCGTATACGCCCGGGCGTGTGAATAAAAACAGTGCTCTGCAAATCCCTGTGGGTACACTTGAAGCATATAAATATAAAATGTGCTGTAGAATTTAGTAGAGTTGCTTTATTGTAATTAACAGTTTTTATTTGTGCATAAAGCAGTGTGAATTATGATGTAAAAAATTAAATAAATATTATTTTGAATTATTATATAAATGTATTCCAAAATCAAAGAAACAGGGAACTATAAATTTTAATTTCAAAATCTTTTGGATTGCAGATCATTATCACATTGAAATTAAAAACAAGAAAAATCGTTGATTTCGGTTGTACCGAAGCTATAGTACCCCTCACAAATAAACAAGTTTGTTTTGATCGGTCAGTTTGTATAGGAGTTATATGGCACAGTAGTCCCACCTGAACAATGTATTCAGCGGTTATACCGTTAGCTATCAGAATAATTCATGCCAAAATTCGTGATGATAGAACTAGTTTGGGTATATATGTACATCGACTCAGCTCGTCACGCGGATCATTTATATATATACTTTATTGGGTCTCGAAAATTTGGGTGCAAACTTCGTGGTAAACTTAATATACAAATATTTGCTAAATTTTTTAAATATTAAATTTTAAATTTTTTAACACTTCCTGAAATTAGTTTTTACTACAAGCTTTCTTGCACCAGTTTAATTGCATAGCCAAATATAGGTATATATTTTATTTGTTTTATGAATTGAATTAAATTACAATTTTTATTATTGTTGGTACTAGTAGCGCTTTTTAAAACTTTTATTTTCTTACATTAGAAATTTTTTTAACTTAAAAGCTTTCAACAGGTGACAACCCTTCTCAGGGCTACAGTCGACCATAAGCCTCTTAGCCTCTTTGATTTTGAAATTTGTAACCATACCTTCGTAGTTCATCTTTTCTAATTTTAGTGTTTAAGAGTAAATTTTTTTAAACAGCTTCAGTTTAACACCATACGAAATACTAAATAAATGTTATATATTTTTTCCGTTAATTTGAAGTTATTAAACAGATAAAAATCTTGTAACTAATTCCTTTCTTTTAATTGTGGTGATGCTCATTTGTCCGAAAAACACGTTTTTATGTAAAATTTTTTTTTTAAGAGACATTTAATTTAAAATCTCAATAAAAATAATACACATTCCCAAAATTTAAAGTTTAGCCAATTATGTGAAAAATTTTCGGATCTCTTGATCGTGTAGTCAAACTCCAGGAGGACCTCTGTAAAAAGATGTCTGGCGGTGAAGATAATTTTTCTGCTTAAAACTATATTTAGTTTAAAAACCCCAAAAAGTTATTATTACCATAGATGAATAGAATTTATATCGAGGGACTAGTCAAAATTTTTATTTGCCAAAATGCTTACCAAAAAAAGCCTTTTCTAGCTAGCTTAACAATTAGTATCACAAAATCTTACTCCATCGATCATCACCTGTTAAATATATCAAAGAACCTCGTGTAAAAATTCAAAGTCGACCAGTTTAGCCATTTCTGAGAAATTTTCCGCACCGTCTCTGAAAACAGAATCTCAGCTGATTACACTTAATTAAAAAACTCTTACAAATACGTTCATTCCGAAACTATTTGCCAGATCAACCTCAAATTTTAAGGTAATCGTAAATTTATGTACACTCTATAGTATATACGCAAAACAAAAAATTGATTTGATGAAATTCACAAGGATAGCCTTTAAAGCAATCTTATACCACGCTGAATGATCCAAAAGATCCAAAAAAAAGAATTAAATACTTAGATTAACTAAACTTTCTTACTTTATATATTGACCTAAAATTCCCGATCTCAAATCTCTCCATAAATATTCATATTTTGGTTATGATTTTAAAAAGTTCGATTATCCGATTTTCCACTGGGGCAGCACTTCTGTTTTGCATGTTCCTATGCGAGAGCACACTCATTCGTATATATATTTAAGCTCTTTTTCTCATCATTTACTCGCATTCAGTCGCAGCCTCGTTACATTTGCATTGGCATAACAAAATGTCGCATAGTTAACCACACACGGTGGCATGCATAAGTCAACGTCATTAACATCAGCTGCTGGCTGGCAAAATGTTGCAAAAAACCTAAATGCCACCATAATTTAGCGAGAGCAGAGAATGCCTAAGAAAAAGAGTGTGTTGAAGAGAATAATATTATATTTTGTTGTATTTTAGTAATGGGATTTATTGTAGTTGCACCACAAACTCGTGTTTCAAGTTTTGTGTTTACGAACAACTACTAAATGTGTTTCTTTGGAGTTGGAGTTTATTATGACAATTTGTGGTGAAATTTTGAGTGGTATCTTAAAACTCTTGATGTTTCAGAAACGGTTAACGGTAAACTCGAGTTTAAAGTTTATTTTAACAACTCTTAGACGAATTTTAATAGGTATTTTCACTAAGTCATGATGTTTAAGCTGACTTAACGGTAAACTCGAGTTTAAATTTTTGTATTCACAAATAACTGCTAAATGCGTTTGTTGAATTCGACGTGTATTTCATCAATTTATGTTAAATTTTGCTATATTCTTAATTTTATAATGTTTAAGACAAATTAACGGTAAACCCAATTTAAAAGTTTTGCGTTTAAGAACAACTGTTAAATGTGTTCGTTAAGTTGGAGTTTATTTGGACAATTTGTGTTAAGTTTTGAGTGTTATCTTGATAAACTCACGGTTCTAGACAAGTTAACGGCAATTGGTTGTATGGTAAACTCTTTGTTTTGGGTTTGTGTTTAATGCTA